TCTCCTGTATACGCGTCTGCATAGGAAAAGTCAGGGACCCAGCAAAAGCCCTCAAGTTTTTGTCGAGTGAGACAATCCAAAATAAGAATCAGATTTCATCTGATCGTAAGATAAGTGGGGATGTAAGCAGATATCATGAGGCAATATTAGAGATTAAACATTCACCAGGTTTGCTTATTACAAATAATTTTCGAAAGGATTCTTGCACATATTACAATCAGCTGACAACTTTAAAATTATTCCAAAAAACTCAAAGCTAACTTACAAGCAATGCCAGTAAAAAAATTATATTTCAAAACCGGATATCGCAACAAAACTCACTACAAGTCGACACACAAGGGATGTAATGAAGTAATCGGCGCATCCCTTAGTTACATGGTAACGGACAGTATTTAACTTTCAAGTTGGCTGATCTAATATAAGTATAAATGTGCCTCGTTAATAAGGCTTTATTTCTGAATTAAATATCCGTCAGCTTGTCGGTCAAAAACTCCTTATATCGTTTTCCATCATACCATGTAAAGGTCGCCCAAATTTTCAACGGAAGTAATACACAAAATTGATCAAGGGTGGCAATGAGCAACCGACTTTCAGTTCGCCCGATCTAGCCGACGACTGGCCTACATCTTTTGTGAGTTACGGCTGACTTGAATCCAATTATCTTGTTTCGCATTATTAATTCCTTGTTTCACAGTCGCCATACTTTTCAGCCGCATTCTCGTTCAAATGGCTGAAACAACCAGACTGTCAACTGCCTTCTGCTGTCAAATGCGGTCTTTTCCCTCAAGTAATCTGAATCATGTTGCCATTGAACATTTACCCTTCGAATTATACGGTGGTCTTAATTTAGATCATGCTTGTTCCGCATATATAATTTAGCTGCAAAGCTTTGATTCTGAAGAACCTAAATGGCTGCATACTAAACGATGCGATCTAAAGCGTTATCACAACAGTCAGGACGGAAACAAGTAGGTTGCCCTCAGACCAATTTATGGCATTTTATTCTCTAAGATTCCATGAGTCAAAGTGTAAATTGGCAAAAAATTTTGCAAATGTTTGCTGCCCCTTTACTTTTAAACATGATAGAGATGATATGATCAATTATAAGTTTCAGATATAGAGATTCCATTGTGCGTCACTGTTTCGAGCAATTTTGGTATCCTTTGTGACCTTCGAAACAGGTTAAAACAAATCTCCGACTATTAATTTACATCATATGGAAATTGCCTTTAACCGACATTCTTTACTAAAGAACGGCTATCTGCTTGCACGCGTTAACATGTTTTTCCTTCATTAGTTTTTTTAACTCCTTCACGCTGATACTAATCTCTAAAAAAGCTAAACAACGTGTCAGATAACTGATTATTTCCCTTGCCTTTTCACTTCGGTCAATCAACTTTAGAAATCAACGCTCATGGCTTAACTAGAGCCAGGTTTCATTGCGTCTTACAGCGGCCTTTCCCATTTAGATGTTAAGTAGAAATATTTAACCTGGTCATGGCCCTCGTGTATTTAAGCACCTGCAGTGCCAGATACATCTTGCGTCGTCTTGTTCGCCAGGACCATGTTACGTTCGTTGCGAATCGTGATTCTGTAGCAGATAGTCCATATTTGTCAAAGCATAGACTTCAAAATTTCATTGTATATTTAGGTGCCTCTGGAAACGCACTACTCCTGTAAGAAAAGACTTTCGGAGAATTGAGCTAGCTTGATCATATATTTTCACTGCAGGTAATACTTGACTTTCTGTCTTCAAACGGAACGAGACGATAAGTCCGATGTTATTTCCTTGCAATATAACGTTATAATCTACAATGCAATTAAGCATTCGAACACTAAAACAGGTAGTGAATGAATATAGCAGCCAGTCGATTTATGCAGATTTTCAATATCTACTGCGGTGTTGGTGAAAAAGGTGAACACAAGTCTTATCTTATAAGATGGTCGAATTCTCCTCTTTCTAATCCATTAGTGGCATTCATTGTTGAGGACTCCTGATCGTCAGAAAATACATCTTCTGTCAAAAGTCATCCGTACAACAACTGTATAGGTATACTCACCAACTGTCGTTGTCACGCTTGAAAAGGTACACACATGTTATCATTCTTACTGATCCATCCTGACTACTTGAAGGAAAAGAAAGCCTGTCCAACTATACACATTCGAAACGTTACCTGTTACTTCATTTGATGTCAAAAGCTTTTGGATACGTTAATTTATAATCGAGGCTTCCATTATATGCTTCAATTTATCATTCATTCATGTTGCGTAATGAAGATGTGAAAAATCTAAAAGAATGGAATGTAAAGGTACCCGTACAGCTGGAAGTTCGATCAACTTAGTAGCATACGGACTGTCCTGAATTCGACGCATAAATATGGAATTCCAAATTATAGCAAATTTGATTCTTCGCGGTTAAAGTGTTTCAATGGTTCAATTGTCATTGATATACCCTGTACCATATATCCAACGTTCCGAACAACAGTAAACCTTATTTGTTTATACAACTCAAGGAATTTCGTCAGTCGCGTGGTTGAGCAGTACTAACCTTTCGGCCCATGTCTCACAATCATTCATCAAGATAGAGAGGATGACTGACTTCGGAAGTTCTGTTTGTCGCTGACAGCCTTTTGTACCTTGGGCGTCCGAAGGTTATGTTCATCGTT